GTAGAAAAGGCAATGTATGCCGAAATTGACAGGATGTTGCAGCTTGGGGTAATAGAGGAGTCCGACAGTGCATGGTCTTCTCCAATCGTTATGGTTACGAAGCCTGGAAAGGTTAGAATTTGTTTGGACTGTCGCAAGGTGAACAGTTTCACCGAAAAGGATGCATATCCTTTACCTCAAATTAGTGGCATTCTGAGTCGCTTGCCGAAGGCTGAATATATAACTAGTCTTGATCTAAAGGACGCTTATTGGCAAGTGCCTTTAGACGTGGCTTCGCGCGACAAGACAGCGTTCACTGTTCCTGGTAGACCGCTCTATCAGTTTAAAGTAATGCCGTTCGGGCTGTGCAACGCTACTAGTACAATGTCTCGGTTGATGGACAAAATAGTGCCAGCTCATCTTAGGAACGAGGTTTTCATTTACCTAGATGATCTCTTGGTAGTGTCATCTAGCTTTGAGAGGCACTTAGAAGTGTTAAGAGAAGTTGCGTTACACTTGAGGCGTGCAGGTTTGACGATCAATATTGGCAAAAGTCACTTCTGCATGCTGAGGGTTCGATATTTGGGCCATATAATCGGCGATGGTGGGATTCGAACTGACCCTGATAAGGTTGCAGCAATTAGGAATTTCCCATTGCCTACAACTTTGCGCAGCTTGCGAAGCTTTATGGGTCTGTGTGGATGGTATCGCAAGTTCGTTCCAAATTTTGCATCTCTTTCTGCCCCGTTAACAGATCTGATGACTACAAAAGAAGATTTAGTTTGACTGAGGCAGCAATAAAATCGTTTGAGGAACTAAAACAATGTCTTAGCGAGGCTCCAGTTTTATGTAGCCCCGACTTCTCCAAACCTTTCGCTATACATTGCGATGCTAGCAAAACCGGAGTAGGAGCTGTGTTGGTGCAAGTTTCTGAAGAAGGAGACGAGCGTCCTATTGCCTTCATTTCGAAGAAATTAAATAAGGCGCAAAGGAACTACACAGTCACTGAGCAAGAATGCCTAGCAGCAATCGTAGCTCTTAAGAGTTTTAGGGCTTACGTTGAAGGACATAAATTCAAAATAATAACCGATCATGCTTCATTAAAATGGTTAATGTCTAATCATGACCTAAATTCGCGTTTAGCTCGATGGGCTTTGGCCTTGCAAAGGTATAATTTTGAGATTGAGCATCGCAAAGGTTCGCTTAACGTAGTTCCCGACTCCTTGTCTCGGGTGAACGAAGACGTGATAGCGGCAATAGACTTGCGGGAAGGATTCCTTGTGGATCTTAATTCCGATCATTTTAAATCAGAGGAATATACGCAGCTCGTTCAAAAAGTGAGTGGAAATCAGGCAAATTTTCCTGATCTCAGGGCGGATAGCGGATATGTTTATCGAAAGGCAGAGCATTTGACAGGAGAGCAAGTGCACGACGAATATGCTTGGAAGCTGTGGGTGCCTAAGGAACTGGTGCCTGAGATACTTTCTCGAGCTCACGATAGCTCGTTGTCTGCTCATGGCGGAATACACAAGACAATTGAGAGAGTCAGGCGGTATTATTTTGGCCAGGACTCGTGGCAGATGTCAAAGCCTACATCAATGCTTGTGAAGTGTGCAAAACAACGAAAGCACCAAATTATGTTTTGCGACCACCGTTAGGGAAAGCACCAGAAAGCCAACGATTTTTCCAACGCTTATTCATAGATTTTCTCGGACCTTATCCCCGATCTAGAGGTGGAAATATAGGTATTTTCATCGTGCTTGATCATTTTTCTAAGTACGTTTTTCTAAAGCCCGTAAGAAAGATCGACTCCAGTGTCGTTATAAAGTATCTCGAAGGAGACTTATTTATGTCGTTTGGTACTCCTGAAACGATTGTTTCAGACAATGGGTCTCAATTCCGGTCGCATGCATTTCAAAAGTTGATGCAGCAATATACTGTTACGCATACACTGACGGCAGTACATTCGCCTCAGGCTAACGCCTCCGAGCGCGTTAACAGGTCCGTCATCGCTGCAATTAGAGCGTATTTGAGGCCTGATCAAAAGGACTGGGACGAACACCTAAATAGGATCAGTTGCGCACTAAGATCGTCCGTGCATTCAAGCCTGGGTACTACACCCTATTACATGGTTTTTGGGCAGCATATGGTCAACTCCGGGTCCACATACTCTTTGCTGAGGAAGCTCAACCTTTTGGATGATCGATCCTTAAAGTTAAGTCGTCAAGACTCGTTTGACGTTGTGCGGGAGAAAGCATGTAAGCGAATGCTGGAGAAACACTCCGAGAACGAAAAGAAATACAATCTTAGATCTCGAGTTGTGTCTTATGCAGTGGGACAAGAAGTGTTTAGAAGAAATTTTAAACAAAGCAGTTTCCAGACCGGATATAATGCTAAATTTGGACCTTCTTTCGTGAAAGCAAGAGTGCGAAAGAAATTAGGAAGCGCCTACTACGAGTTAGAAGACTTGCAAGGAAAACCCGTAGGCACGTATCACGCGAAAGATATTCGCCAATGATCTGGCTTCAGTCGGCATCAGTCTAGGGTACCAGTGGTATGTATACCCTAGCCAGATGTTACCGGGGGGCTTTTGTAGTGGCGACTGAAGACCCTGCCACGGAAATCAGCCTAGAAGGATGCTACGCTTTATGTGAAGCCTAAGCCTAGCTTCGCCAGTTTTGGCGATCACGTAAAGGTGGTCAAGCGACTACGTAACAAAGCTTTGAGCAAGCTTGCACGTGCCGTAATGTAGAGCTGCATTTAATTAAAACGCGTTTTGGCATATTTAACAGAGAATTTACATTTGCTCTGAAGACGAAGAAGAGCGCATTTGCCAATTAGGAAATTTTTTCAAGCAGACTTTCCGTTTCCGTGGGAGGTCTTTTTAAATCAAGGTCTAGAAGAGCATAGACGTGTCGGGTGCTCGTAATTATCAATAAATCAGACAGTGGCAGTGAATCGCGTAAACCAAGTGTTGAAGTGGCCGCTGAAAGCTTCGCAGAAAAAGTGAGTAGAGAAGTGCCAAATTTGTGGGGCACAGTGAGTAACCTTTTTGTTGCCCAGGTTAGGAAAACTAGAAAATTGGAGGCAGCAAAGCAGCGTCGACGCACGGCCAGGGCCAAAGGTCGACAAGACCTTTCGCCAAGGGAAAATCCCTTAATTTTGTTACCAGGGCTCAAGCCAGCGGGTAATTATGAAAATAGAGTGTTTGTTAAAGGCAGTGCTTACTGTTTGAATGGAAAAATTTACAGATTGGGCCCTGCAGTAAAGAGTCAAGTCCCTAGGCAAGGTGTACCCCTAACCTGAGGGGATGAAGTAGAGAAGCTACAACCAGCGCAGGAGGAGCCGATCCCCAGGAAAAATCAGGCCAACAGCGCGGATGCGCAACTCATCTCTTGGCCAGCTTCGTGTCGGGAAAAGCGATTAATTCTTTTTTTTGTGAAAATTTTGCTAACCTCGCGGGTTAACCTTCACCTGACCCCTGTGTTCTAACCTCCTCCTATTGCAAGTGAAGAATAATTTTAAATAGGGTTTTACCCTTAAAGCCCATTTTGGTAACTTTTTCTTCTGAATTTTGTGCGAACAATTTGCTCTAACAGAGACAATGTGATTAATGGCCCAAAACATTTGTTAATATTGGCCTTTGAATTTAAAAACTTATGCTCGAATTATGCTCTCGATCTGCTTGCGTCTAGCCGTGAATTTAATGAAGCCGAATAATGAAAATTTATGCTGAATTTCCAGTATTTTAATTTAATTTATTATTAATTTAGTTTTTTTTTATTTTTACACCTTTATTTTTTTACTTCAAATTAAGTTCCATTGTTGCATAGCAAAAAGAATAATAATATAAGAAAAATAGGGCCATTCGGACTTTAACCCCTTTTTTCCAGAGAAAAGCTTCGAGGGAGATCGATCTTCGCCGATGGAAAATTGAGTGAGTCTAAAAAAAACCATTCGAATGAAAACATGCAATTGAAAAAAAAATGAAAATACTTGAAAACTTAAACCATTTAAAAATGATTTAATTTAAAATATACAAAAATAAAATCTCCATAAGCTAATGCAACAATTGAAATTGAAATTGAAATGAACTAAAGACATGAAGTAAATTTATTTTTAATAGTTAATAGAAAAGAGAAAACATGAAGTAAACGAACATTTAATAATACAATTTAAATTTGATTTAAACTTTAAGAAAAATTATTTCTTTTGAATTTTGTGCACAATTTTTAAACACATATATGTACATCTATGCACCTCCTTACATTTTTACATTTTAATTTTAGCTTATATTTATCTTTGTTAGCTTTAAGTATTGAATTAATTTTATTAAACAAGTTTTAATTTTAAAAATCATGTTAGCTTAAAAACCGGTATATACCGACTCGTAGGATGACTCCACGGTCGTAGGGTCCTGAAGGGATCACCAGAGCCATGCTCTTGCGGCAGGTGATCGTAGGTTGGGTGGGCACAAAGCGAGCACAACAACATCTGTGTCTCTGCATTGTATAGATTTTCTCTCTGTCTTCTCTTCTCTCTACTTCCGCTTTTCTTCTGTCTTCTTTATGTTGTGTGAATTTTGTTTATCATTTCTTCCGGTTTTGTTCTAGCTCTTATTTTGTCGCAGCACGCTCAATTCTAGTCTTTGTAATAATAATGTGTAGTCGTTGTCCGAGATCTGGGTGAGCAAGACCTCCACCCCCAAAGCCGACGAGCTAGAGCCGGAAAAATAAAGCGTGCCCCAGCAGCCCAGATCCTCACCAACCACGACGAACTTTATGGTTGCACGCTACAAATCATGACTATTTATGAGCTGAGTCCTTAATTGCATTAATTCAAAATAATATAGTTCTTCAATTAATTTGAATTTAATTTATAATTTATCCAAATAAGAATACATTGTTTTTACATTTATAAAATGTAATTGTATTTAATTTTAATATTTAGCTTATCAAAATTAAGAAAATACCCGGCAATGACTTTAATTTTCACCCACAAAATCTCTCTCCTCATTCCAGCTCCATAGAAACACTGCGAGCGGAAACGCCCGAGGAGTTCTATGCACCGAAACGGGCGGATGATGACGTCCAACTCAATGGGACACCAACCGATGTGAACGCAGCTGGCGCTGTCATGGCGGGAAAGGGAGCAACTGGAGCCGGAGGAGCTGGAGCTGGAGGTGACCACAAGCAACGGCAACTGAAGAAGCTGCGATTCAAGCGGGAGATGCATGCCCTGGCCCTGGAGGGCGGCGATGTGGCCCGGGGCTACTGCTCCTGCGACGAGCAGTGGACGAACTCCTCCTCGCCAACGTCCACAACGACATCGGCAACCATGTCGCCGACACTGCCAGCGACCGGAAGTAGCAACGGGCGCTACGCAACCGGAAACGAAGGCGGCAGCGGGATCGTAAAAATGGCGGCAACGCCGTCAGCGACGGTGGCGGGGAAGCGGGGCGGAAGGCTCAAGCAGCAGCACCATGTACGCTTCTCCGATGAGAAGAACTTCTCGGATTGAGGATAAAACCAACTACTAGACTGCACCTAATCTCTGTTTAGTCATAGGCTAATTCCCCCAACAGGAAAAAATGGGGAAATCAAAGAAATCATCAGAAAACCAAAAACAAGTTGCATTAAATTCCGTAGATAAACGTAAACGATAAGGAAACCTGTACATATAGCTCGAGAATGTTAGTTAAATATCCGTGTTTAGTTGCTTGATAGATCTGTTGTGAACTATATATACGCATATATATAAATATATATGGTTATAATCAAGCTAACGATACATACAATTCGTTAGTTAAGTGTAGCACAAATCCATTTTTTCCACTCATCAACAAATTGAAGGCAAACAAACATTTGATGGAATTTGTTGGTAAACGATAATTCTGTTAGCGGCCGTGTAAATACTCTAGTCAAAATAAACATAAAATGTGGTAAAATTTACTTAAAGTAAATTTATGAAAAAAGTAAAATAAAAATCACTAAAATAACAAAAAACGCTCAAAATAGATAAGGATCAACTAAGACAACAATGAAAGGCATAATTGAAAACAAATAAATAGTTTATCATTTAATTATTGCTCTAAGGATGAAGCATAAAAATGTGTGACGCTTCTTCTTTTATGTACAAAGCAAGATAAACAAACAGTAATTAATTTTCTGATCATTTTTAACCACAATTTCAATTTATTAATTAGCAACAAACCTGGAAATCTCTGCCTTGACGAAATGGGTCAATTTAATTCAATAAATCTGATTCTAATTTGTTTCTTTCTTTATTTAACAAATATAATATATTTAAAAAATATACTATAATATTTTTATCATCTTATTCTTATAAAACAAAAGACTTACCTCAAACTAACACAAACTGCCAATTTATCAACACATTTATTATACTTTTCTTTAATATTTATTCAACTCTGTTTAACTCTTAAAACTCTTCCATTTTATTTAAAAATCATTTCGATGAAAACGCATAGAAAGCGTCGCCAAGAAAGCACAGATAAAATATAAAATATTTGTACTTTTAAGAAGGAAATTTATAATCGTCTAGTTTACATTATAAAAGAATAAAAACAGAAAATCCGATTGCAGAAAACACATAAACTAAATTAAGTGATTAATAAGAAATAAAATTAAACTAAACGAAATATAAACAAACCATAAAAACTAAAAACAATAAAAACTAAATTAAAGAAATATTAAATGTGTTCTTTTTTATAATAATGGAGAGAATCATTAAAACAAAGGGTAATTTTAAAATTTAAAAATTCAAAGGGATTTATTAAGTTTAATTCTGGTTTAGCAGAAAGATAAGATATATATTTATTTTTACTGTAGAATAGAGCACATGCGTTTTAAATTAATCAATAAGTATAGTACAAGATTTTTTTAATTTTCTTTCTTAACCAAATGTTCTAATATAAAAATAACTAGGTCAAAGTGGAAAACCTCCTGGAAAACTCATAACGCACACCATAGGAAATTTATTCTAAAATCTTTTTACAAAAAAATTATAATTTATGAAGGTTTTTTCCTTGCCTTGCTAACAGCTAATAAAGACTTTAAGACCCCCAGTGAACCCGATCCAAACCCAAAGGATTTCTGGATTCATTTCATTTTAAATGCTTTTCGTTTATGTGAAGAATTTTTGTTCTGGCAATTTTAATGGCTCAAATTTTTATGGCAGCCAGCAACGGTTATTAAATCAAGTTTTATGTCTGGCCAGCAATATGGCTGCAAAAGACCTCACTGAAGGACGAAGGGAGAGAGAGGAGAAAACTTTACTAAGTTCAGCTGGAATATTCAAGGTTCTTTGGGAATTAATTTATATACATATATTGTGAAGCTCAGTTTCTGGCACATCAAATATGTAGAGAGCCAGCCTCTCCCCCTAAACCGCTGCACTATCTGGTCTTGAAGCTTTGTTGATGTTTGGCCAAAAACTATTCCAATTAACTTACTAAACAAAGCAAGGAACAGCGGAAAATAGAAAATGAAAGCTAAAAATATAAAATACCCGCTGGTCATTTTGTAACTCTTTTGTAGACCGACTTTTCCGACCATTTTCCACCCAGGCTTGGCTTGTTTGTTTTTTCGTTTGATGTGTGTGTTACTGGCAACATTATGCTGGCTGTCTTGCTTTCTCTTTCTCTATTTTTCTCTCTCTCTCTCTCTCTCTCTCTTGCTCTTTTTTCCCCAAAAGCCAAAGTTTTAAGCGTAATTTTCATTATTTAAAATGTGTTACTAAACGGGTTTGTCAATGTGTGTGTGAGAACGTGCAGCATCTAAAAAGAAAAGCGAACTTAATTATTTTAAATTTAAAACATACTAGAAATTCGCGAATAACTTTGTTAAAAGTACATTTTTCACTGCGTTTTTTGTTTAATTTTTTTATTTTAGGAATATTTCTCTGTTAAAGTTTTTTAAACTTAGAAGAATTAATTCAAATTATAATATACTCCTTTTATATAAAAATGAAATTAAATACACTGATAAAAAGGTAAGGGTTTTGGTCATAACATCGTGACCATAACGAATGTAGTGTAATCCCATTTTGGGCTTATTTTAAATTTTTATTCTATTATATATTAAAGTTTTATTTTTCTGCGTTTAAATAAAACGTGCAGCATCTAAAAAGAAAAGCGAACTTAATTATTTTAAATTTAAAACATACTAGAAATTCGCGAATAACTTTGTTAAAAGTACATTTTTCACTGCGTTTTTTGTTTAATTTTTTATTTTAGGAATATTTCTCTGTTAAAGTTTTTTAAACTTAGAAGAATTAATTCAAATTATAATATACTCCTTTTATATAAAAATGAAATTAAATACACTGATAAAAAGGTAAGGGTTTTGGTCATAACATCGTGACCATAACGAATGTAGTGTAATCCATTTTGGGCTTATTTTAAATTTTTATTCTATTATATATTAAAGTTTTATTTTTCTGCGTTTAAATAAAAGCCAAAAACTCTTAGTTCTAAAGTTGTTGTTCTTATGTTATCAAGATTTTATTTTAAGAATTCATCATCATCCTAGAACTAGAGTTTCATTATTATTTTATAGTTACTAAATTTTTATGTTGGTTAAAAACTGATAAGTACACTTGGAGTAAAACTCTTAGAGCCAGTTTATATTTTTTCTTACTGTTAAACTTCCTGTTATCTATCTGTCCTAAAAAGCTAAAAACTAAGTACACTTGTGACAAAAGAAAATCAATTTTAATTTATAGTTTTCCATTATCCTAAAGACATTTTATATTTATAATCACTGTTAAAATTCCTGTTTTATTGAGTCGCAAATGAATTAACAATAAGTAGGATTTACTGTTGATTATATTATATAAACACATCAAAAGTTAATACAATTTTCATTATGAGCAAAGTTGAACTCTACATTTGATAAAGTCAGTACACAAATGTATTTCTTCTTATTCAAACAAATATTTTAAAATATTTAGAAATTATATTTTAAGTCCTTAGCATCATCTCTTAATTACAAGTATCCTGAAGTATACCTTTTATCTAAACTAAACCTCTCTAAACCATTAGCCACGATTCTACCACCTGAGGAAAAATCTCCTCCTGCAGTTCACCCTGTATTTTAGACCCCCCGGGGTCTACCTAAAATTCCCTCTCTTTCAACCACAACTTGCCGTAATGTCGGTTTGGAAGTGAATATACGTTTTTAATGTTTGCTTTTTATTACAAACTAAATGGGAAAAATGTGTTGGCCAAGAGAGTTTGGGATGCCAGGCGATGGTGGGGAGGGGGAGCTTGGGGTGTAATGAAGGGGTCAGGGGGTCTTTGCTTGACACTTGCTACCTTTTATTATAAATGTTTTATAGCTGAGAATTTTACAAATTACTTTTTGTGCAACTTCAGTCAGTCACACACACACACTCGCGTGGTTATAAAAACTTGATGACAGGTGTAGCAAATTAGGATTATTATTTTAAATACCAAAAACCAACACCAACTCCTTTCCGCAGTTATATTTTTTTAATGCTTATTAATGCATAAAGCAAACTGTTAAATTTTTATGACAAATTTCAACATGATTTTATTAAAGTTTGGTTTGATTATTCATATAATTAAAAAGCTAAGCGAATGGTAATGTGAAAGTAGTAGAATTTTCATGATTTTTTTGAAAGTACTTTTCAAATAATACTAAAAGATTTATAGCCACTTTTAAAAAACTTAATCCATTATCTTGTTAAATTATATTATATAAATATTTAAAATTGAGAGTTCAGATACACCAAAATACTTGGTTATATTTAAGTCTTGTATAAATTTGAATTGTGTATATAAAATATATATATTAAAGTGTAAATTGTCTTAAGAGACTTATTTAAAACATGAACTAATGTTTATTTATTATTTTATATATTTTTTTAGCAAACAAGAAAGCTGAAACTACAGATTCAGCGGTCGTTTCGTTTGATTTCGGAATTGTTCAATAATTTTAAAAATTTTTTGAAAAAGAATTGGGCTTGGAATTGGATTTGGTTTGTTAGAACCAAATATTTAATAAATATGTCTAGTTTTTTTCAATGTTTATTATACATTTTAAAAATAAACTTTTCCTTTTAATTTGTTAGTCTAAAATGATTTCTGTGTTGACATTAAAAATTACATAAAATATGTGTATGTTTTGCTTACTTCTTTTTTATAATTTACCTTTTTTCATTTAATTGTTTTCTGTTTTTTTTTTTAGCTTATATATCTTCTTCCTTCATATGAAACGAACTTCTAGAATAATAATAAAATGAAATGGCAATCTACCAACTCAAGACTGAATCCCATCAGCCAAGTATTTTCCATTTATCCATTCTTGAAAAAAAACATTTCACTTTTGCAAAATGTCTTGCAATAATTTACTCTAAAATCAGGGCTCGAACACAGGCACTGGAATTTTCCTTCCGAGTAACCGCATCAATTAATTAATTGAGTCTAATGTATTTCGGCCTTGGTACCGTCTCCCAACATGCACTTTTCGGCTCATTAAACTTGAAGTGTTAAATTTTCGTTGGCCAATATCAAGGGAGTGAGGGAGGAGAGGAGCTCAGACTTTTGACTGCTCATAAAAGTCTAAAGTTATGGCAATAATAGCTACAGCAGCAGAAGGTACAACAATTTGTTTTTGCGCTGTCGTGTGGGTGGCAACACATTTATATGTTTTCCCACGGTTAACACGGCGTATGCGTAATTTATGTCGCTCAGTGGCACAGGTGCTCGGGTCACATACGCGCGGTTTTCATATTTCTAAAGTTCCGGCATCAAATTTGATGAATGTTTGCACTTTTTACGTTAATTTCATTCGAGTGGATCACTATAGAATGTGGCTCTTCAAGAAAGTGCATTTAGTAATAATCCTACTCAGTGAGCGAGATTTATAGAAAACTGATTTTGAAACAATTTTGATTTTGTACTAAATAGTTTTTACATAGTCGTT